CGCCGCCGTCGCTGCTGGCGCCGCTGCCGCTGCCGTACTAGCTACCAGGGGCGGCGCCGCAGCTGTCAAGGCCGCAAGGCTCTGCGATGTTATCACCGCTCGCATGAAGTTGATGACTGAAGCAGCCGAAGCTTGTACGATCGTCGCAACTGTCGTACACTCCATGGGCTGTGCAGGTGCTGTGGTTATACGACGCCAGGCTACAAGACGTGTGCTTATGAATCCTCTCACTGCCTCCATCCTCGCCCGTAAGAACAAAGTCCCCGATTCGTTTAGAAGCCTCAGTCCTTACCCCGAGAAGTTTGGTGTCGTGTAGTCCTCAAATGAAATGCTAGGTCCAAACAGATTTTTACAGTTGTCACAACCCGAATCATGGAACTGCAAAAGGGAATCGGCTGAGCAGCGTCCTCAACGCTCCACCGCAACAAACACCGCACCTGGTTGCGCGACTTGATTAGGCGGCACACGTAGCAACAAACAAGATTCTTATTGGTAAGAGCAAAGTCAGAAGGGTCCCGATTGGACTCGCCGTGTGCTGGGACGTCAGCGACCCGTTCCATTTCCGGGCTCCGGGCCCGTTTCTATGTAGATGCTACTTACTCCTAGTAACGTATTAAGCATATATATAGGATGCACCACAACTCAGGCTGCCCGGAGAAAAATACACGGAGAACGGAGCTGCGCAGCGACGCTGCCGATATCGTTGCTGTAAGGTTGGGCTGACTACAGTTTCAAATTTAAACATACACCGTAGAGGCATATGAAGGAGGTGCATAAATGAAGAGTACCGTCACGAATTCAGCTATTGGAAGAGGTCCGAGGCGATTGTTGCAGTTGGGGGTTGACTGTCGTACCAGAAAACCTGCCGAGGTTGTCCCTCAGCCCGGGGAGTACATTGGATTTCCGGGTGCGTATTGTGCAGCACGTAGAAATTACTTTAATTGGTGGGTGGCGGATGCTTTGGTGTGTGGGCCCTTGGGGCTTCTCCTCGCGTCGAAAAGGCATGATCAAATTGCAATAGCCGATAGGTTCAGGTTCGCAGGGTGACGGGGTTACGTTCTGCGCTTCCTAAGCCCAGGCTTACATGTGTT